TGAACGGTCTGTTTGCAGTAGAGAAGGGCGAGAAGGCCGTGGATAAAGGAGGTGAAGAATTTGAGGTATGCAGGTTAATTATGAACCTGGTGCCAACCAATGGCTTGTGCCGAAATTTGGTGGGGGATACTTCAACTCTACCTACGGTCACAGGAATGTCTGGAACCGTCTTGGCGGATGGTGAACTGCTCTTGACATCGTCAGAGGACATACGTTGTTTCTTTTACTTGTTCCGGACGCCCCCTGAGTGGCACCGGTTCATGGGGTTTGGAAGGGAGGCCCCTGAAGAATGCCTCCCAGAAGGCTGCACAGGCAAGGGCTGGCACCTTGTCAGCAGGGTCTTGCCTATGGGATTCATCAACTCCGTGGCAATTGCGCAACATGTCCATAGGCGAGTCATCCAACAGGCCCTAGGAGGCGAAAGAAAGTTAGCCGGGAAGCAGCAAGAAATCCGACGGGGCCGCCACCAGAGTTCCTCGGCTCATCAGTATCGGGTCTATCTCGACAACTATGACGAGCTGAACAAGGTGGATAAGACACTAGCCGAGAGTTTAGCGGGAAAGCCGTCAGCGTGGACGTTGGCAGTGCGTGAGACATATCAACAGCTAGGCCTCCCTCGACATCCAAAGAAGGCAGTCACACAGGAGGTTCAGGCCGAAGTTCAGGGAGCTTGGGTAGATGGTGAGGCTGGCCGGGCATCGCCAAAGTTAGAGAAGGTGGCGAAGTATGTCCGGCTAGCTCTTGAAATCTGCGTGAACGGCAAGGCTTCGCAGCGTGAGCTCCAAGTGGTCGGAGGAGGTTTTGTCTACATTGCAATGTTCCGCAGACCGTTGTTATCCGGGTTGAACGCCGTGTGGAAGCAGGTCATCGACTTAGGCGCAAAGGGGCCGTTTGCCCGCAGGTCTCTGCCGCAGGAAGTTATGCTGGAATTGGTCCGTTTTGTTGCACTGAGTCCTTTGGCCTATATGGATTTTCGGTTGACCACTTCTGAGCTTGTGACAGCCAGCGATGCCTCCACCACAGGAGGGGGGCTTTGCGTGAGCAGAGAGCTTAGTCCCTTCGGAGTTGCAGCGTGCCAGGCTGAATGTCGCGGAGATGTCGTGGAACCTGACGAGATGGACCAGGTGTTGGTGGTGTCGCTCTTCGACGGGATAGGCGCCCTTCGTGTTGCCTTGGACGCTCTGCGCGTGCCTGTTGGGGGGTATGTCTCTGTGGAGATATCCCCGGAGGCCAATCGTGTGGTAGAGTCCTTCTTCCCTGAGGTGGTTTGCGTGGGTGACGTTGCCAGCGTGACCAATGAAGTTGTCCTTGGCTGGAGGTTGCGTTTTGCGAATGTCGGGCTTGTACTGTTGGGCGCCGGACCGCCCTGTCAGGGTGTGTCCGGGTTGAACTCAGACCGCAAGGGCGCGTTGAGAGATGAACGATCCTGCTTGTTCCAGCATGTCCCCAGGATAGAGTCCTTACTTAGGGAGCATTTCAAGTGGTGCCCAGTGCACAAGCTTATTGAAAATGTGGCATCAATGGACGCTAACGATTGCCGGACTATGTCAGGAGCGTATGACACCCTGCCTTGGAGCGTCGATGCTGGAGGACTGACTTTGGCACGTCGGCCGCGTCTGCATTGGTGTAGTTGGGATCCCCTGAATCTTGAAGGTGCCAAGGTCGTCGAAGGGAGGGAAGGTGACCTCCCAATCAAAGGCAAGGTGGAGCTGGAGGTGGCCATCGACGAGCGTGACTTCCTGGAAAGTGGTTGGCAAAGAGTCCGTCCCAACGCTCCCTTTCCTACATTCACCACAGCGCGACCATCAGCAATTCCCGGGCGTCGACCTGCAGGTTTAGCCCTCTGTCCCCCAGAGGCGGTGTCCAGGTGGAAGGCAGACCTTCATCGGTTTCCACCATACCAGTATCGGGCAGAGAATTGCGTCACCAACCGGCAAGGTTCGTTGCGTGTTCCTTCGGTCAAGGAGAGGGAAGTGATCTTGGGGTTCCCACTCGATTACACCCGGCGGTGTCTCGTCAAGAGCTTGGAAGGAAGCACGGCACACAACGACTGTCATCTGACTCTTCTGGGGAATAGTTGGTCCATTCCAGTGGTCGCCTATCTACTGTACTGCTTGTTCAGGACATTGGGTTTGTTGCCAAAGTTGAGCCTTGCCAGCCTGGTGGAGCGCTTGACCCCCGGGCGCGAACACTTCTTGTCTAGCCTCCTCATGAGGCCACCCTTGAGGCAGACCACAAAGTCAGGTAGTGTGCAGCAAGGCCTGGTGGCGCGGTTGATGGGGCAAGTCTCAGTTAAGGGAGAGGACATCCTGCTGCAACTGGGGTCTGATCTCCCAGCACGATATCACCGATTGCGAGCGTCCATCCCCAGCAGACTCTGGAGATGGAAGGATGTTGCAGGATGGCGCTGGACAGGAGATGTTGAGCACATCAACGCCTTGGAGTTGCGGGCCGTTAAGACGGCCATTGTCTGGCGGTTGAAGGAGCTTGAGGAGCAGGAGTGTCGCTTCTTGCACTTGGTTGATTCATTGGTCGTGTTGCATGCCTTGTCTCGAGGAAGGTCATCCAGCAGGAGATTGAGGAGAACGTTGTGTCGAATCGGAGCGCTTCAGTTGGCAGGAGGACTTGTTGGCATTTGGGGTTACGTGGATACCCACCAGAACCCCGCTGATCGGCCGTCGCGCCGACCCCTTCGAAAGAAATGGGGAAAAAGACCACGAAAGTGATGGAAGGTAAGAGCCAACAAGAGCGCAAAAAGGTTCGAAGCAAACTAGGTTCTCTCAAGGGGCTTACTGTTCAGCCTCGTACAAGGCAACGCTATACCGAATGTCTCAACCGCTTCTTCGACTGGATGGCAGGGAGGGGCTGGCTCTCCCAAAACAACAGGTTCGCTTGGACGCATTGGTCAGTGACTACCTCGAGCATCTCTGGGCCTCCGGCGAGGGTAGGTCTGTAGCCAACAACACGCTAGCGGCACTGCAGGACCAGGATCCATCGCTGAAGAAGAGATTGCCAGGGAGCTGGCGATTGTTAAAAGCATGGACGACGGTTGAGATCCCCAACCGAGCCCCACCTATGACCCTTCAGGTCTTGGATGCCTTGCGCGGATGGTCCATTTTTAATGACTGCCCTGCGTTTGGCCTGTCCCTACGGGTTGCCTTCTATGGACTACCTCGCACAGGAGAACTGCTGAGCCTACGGGCAAAAGATATCTTCATCCCTGGGCCTAAAGGACCGGCCGTCCTTTCACTGGGACTGACCAAGGGAGGTGCTCGTCAGGGCGCGGCGGAGAGTGTCACGCTGCATGAGCGTTCGATCCTCCCAGACCTGTGGCGATGGAAGCAGGCTAGTTCCCCTTCAAAATTTTTAACCCTCAAACCACATGCGTGGAGAGCATTATTTACCAAAGCCATTGAGGCACTCAAATTGAATGACCTGCACTTCAGACCGTACAGTTTGCGCAGAGGGGGCGCGACGTTCTGGTTTAACCAGCACGGTTCGTTCGATAAATTGCTAGTGCAAGGCCGGTGGGCCGCTGCACGTACGGCTCGAGTGTACCTCAACGACGGCCTCGCACAGTTGGCCGACGTGTCTCTGTCTAATTCGGTTTTAATTCCATACGTCAACTTGTATCGTAGGAGCCCAAACCTTGAGCCTGGACCCCCTCAAGGGGGGTCCAGGTCAGGGGGACGTGGAGCAAGAGCCAAGAAGGGACGAAAGGTTCAATTTTTTGCGCTTTTTTCTGTC